ATATAAAATTTTTTAATATTTTTTATATATATAATATATATACATTATATATATATATAAAAGGCCTAATAAATATATGTTATTTATATATTATACATATAATAAATACATATAAAATATGTATTTATTGAGGTCAGACATTTCCTTGAACTGTAAGTAGTGCACTGGTGGTGGGGTCATCACACTGTTGAATGGAGGAAACCTGTGTTCATACCGAACTTGTTCACTATCAAGCTCAAACTTCGGTTTACATACTTTGCCATCCATGTCAAATGCTACCATGGTTTTAAACATTCCAGCACACATGTTCTGATATGCTTGGCTCATTGTGATCTCTTGGCTCAATGGGCGAGCTTTCTTTTTTTTCTTTGTTTTTTTACTACTACGGCCTTTCTGCTGCTCTTCCATTATCCTCTCCTCTGCCATTTGCGAGCCATCGGCACGACACAGTGTTGACATCAACCATGCATAAAGGAATTCAGAGAGATACCAATATATGTAATAGTACTCGTACTATTACATATATTAATGCAGGTGTATGAGCCATATATATATATGTATATAATGTATACTGTTATATAAGTAAACTATAATTTGTAGTATATATATAAATATATATATTTATATTATATATATTATGAGTATATATGGCCATATTATATTTATAATATATATGAATATATAAATATGTATTTATATAATCCTGTAAAAAATATCAATTATGAAATTAATATTCATACATTATTAAATATACACTTATAAATATATATCATATAATTATATATATAATTATATGTATAAATAATGTATAAATCATATATGTATACATTTGTATACATAATGTATATAGACATTATGTATACAAAACAATCTATCAGCCACGAGCTGGAGCCTGACGCCAGTCAGCTGCATCTGGAGCTGGACTGCGCCAAGTTCTCGCTGCCTCACTTAAGCAGCACGAGCCCAGAGCTCTCCATGAACGGCCATGCTCCCAGCTATGAGCTCTGCAGCGCGCTGAGCCGGCCCTCGCCCAAGCAGAACACGGCCCAGTACCTGGCCTCACCCCTAGACCAGGAGGTGGTACCCTGCACCCCCAGCCACGGCGGCCGTCCACGCGTGGAGAAGCTGTCTGGCCTGGCTGTGCCCGAGTACACCAGGCTGTCCCCGGCCAAGATTGTGCTGAGGCGGCACCTCAGCCAGGACCACACGGTGTCAGGCAGGCCGGCCGCCAGCGAGCTGCACCCGAGAGCTGAGCACACCAAGGAGAATGGCCTTCCCTATGAGAGCCCCAGCGTGCACAGCAGCATGAAGCTGAGCCCCCAGGACCCGCGGCCCCCATCCTCTGGGACCCTGCAGCTTGCTGGAGAGAAGAGCAGTGAGAAGGGCCTGAGAGAGCGTGCCTACGGCAGTGGCGGGGGGCCCATCACCAGCCTGCCCATCAGCATCCCACTCAGCACCGTGCAGCCGAACAAGCTCCCAGTCAGCATCCCCCTGGCCAGCGTGGTGCTGCCCAGCTGCGCTGAGAGGGCCAGAAGCACCCCCAGTCCTGTGCTGCAGCCCCGAGACCCCTCGTCCACACTTGAAAAGCATATTGGTGCTAATGCCCACAGTGCTGGGAGCAAAAGCCTTGCCCTGGCCCCTGCAGGCTTCTCCTATGCTGGCTCGGTGGCTATCAGCGAGACCCTGGCAGGCAGCCCAGCCTCTCTTGCCCCTGGAGCTGAGCCCGCCGCCTTGGATGAGTCTTCCAGCTCTGGGAGTCTTTTTGCCAATGTGAGGTCCCGCAGCTCCACGTCACAGCATCCCCTGCTGCTGGCACAGCCCCAGAACTCGTGCCCGGCCTCTCCCGCCCACCAGCTCTCCTCCAGCCCCCTGCTCGGTGGGGCTGCCCACGGCCCGCTCCCCGAGGCCAGCAAGGGGGACCTGCCCTCCGATTCCGGCTTCTCAGATCCGGAGAGCGAGGCCAAGAGGAGGATCGTGTTCACCATCGCCACCGGCGCGGGCGGCACCAAGCAGTTACCTTCCAGCAAACACAGCCCCCTGACCGCCAGCGCCCGCGGGGACTGTGTGCCGAGCCATGGCCATGACAGCCGCAAGCGTGGCCGGCGGAAGCGAGCGTCAACGGGGACGCCCAGCTTGACCGCAGGCGTGTCCCCCAAGCGCCGAGCCCTGCCGTCTGTCGCTGGCCTTTTCACGCAGCCTTCAGGGTCTCCTCTAAACTTCAGCTCCATGGTCAATAACATCAACCAGCCCCTGGAGATTATGGCCATCTCATCCCCTGAGACCTCCCTGAAGAGCTCCCCTGTGTCCTACCAGGACCACGATCAGCCCCGCGTGCTCAAGAAAGAGCGGCCCCTGAGCCAGACCAATGGGGCGCACTACTCCCCGCTCACCTCCGACGAGGAGCCAGGCTCTGAGGACGAGCCCAGCAGCGCCTGAATTGAGAGAAAAATTGCAACAATCTCCTTAGAAAGCAAATCTCCCCCCAAAACCTTGGAAAACGGTGGTGGCGTGGCGGGAAGGAGGCCCGCGCCAGCCGGCGAGCCAGTCAATAGCAGCAAGTGGAAGTCCACCTTCTCGCCGATCTCCGACATCGGCCTGGCCAAGGCTGCGGACAGCCCCCTGCAGGCCGGCCCCACCCTGAGCCAGAGCTCCCTGTTCGCGTTCCGGCCTGCCCTGGAGGAGACCCCCGCCGATGCCAAGCTGGCTGCCCACCCCAGGAAAGGCTTTCCCGGCTCCCTGTCAGGGGCCGACGGACTCAGCCCCAGCACCAACCCTGCGAACGGCTGCACCTTCGGCGGGGGCCTGGCCGCCGAGCTGAGTTCACACAGCTTCAATGATGGTGCTTCTCTCCCCCACAAGGGCCCCGAGGCGGCCGGCCTGAGCTCCCCGCTGGGCTTCCCCTCGCAGCGCACCAAGGAGGCCTCGGACGCCAACCCTTTCCTGAGCAAGAGGCAGCTAGACGGCCTGGCCGGGCTGAAGGGTGAGGGTGGCCGCGGCAAGGAGGTGGGGGAGGGAGGCCTGCCGCTGCGCGGCCCCGCGGACAAAACTCCGCTGCCCGCCCGCAAGGCCGCCAAGGCCTGGGACCGTGAGCTCGACCTCAAGAACGGCCAGAGCCTCTTCATCTCTGCGGCCGCCGTGCCTCCCGGAGGCCTTCTCAGTGGCCCCGTCCTGGCCCCGGCGGCGTCCTCTGCAGGCGGCTCTGGGTCCTCCACCCAGACACACCGGCCCTTCCTGGGCCCCTTCCTGCCAGGGCCGCAGTTCGCGCTGGGCCCCATGGCCCTGCAGGCCAACCTGGGCTCCGTGGCCGGCTCGTCCGTGCTGCAGTCGCTCTTCAGCTCTGTGCCGGCCGCCGCTGGCCTGGTGCCCGTGTCGTCCGCTGCCACCAGACTCACCGACTCGCACGCCATCGGCAGCTTTTCCGGGGTGGCAGGTAGCACAGTTGGAGGTAACTAGGATTTCTACCTCAACCTCAAGACCTATGCAAGGATGGTGTGGACCAACTGCGCCCGCGGCACCTGCCTGCCGGCCTCCCCAAAAAAAAAAA